GGTGGTCTCTGCATGCTCAGCCTCAGCCTCCTGTTGGGCCGCAGAAGGGTCTGCCTCCTCGGTGGTCTCTGCACGCTCAGCCTCAGCCTCCTGTTGGGCTTCACAAGGTTCTGCCTCCTCGATGGTCTGTTCATGCTCAGCCGCAGCCTCCTGCTGGGCCGCTGAAGGTTCTTCCTCCTCCGGGTTCTCTCCATGCTCAGCCTCAGCGTCCTGTCTGGCTGCAGAATGTTCTGCCTCCTTGGTCGTCTGTTCATGCTCAGCCTCAGCCTCCTGTTGGTCTGCATAAGGTTCTGGCTCCTCGGTGGTCTGTTCATGCTCAGCCTCAGCCTCCTGTTGGTCTGCATAAGGTTCTGGCTCCTCGGTGGTCTGTTCATGCTCTACCACAGCCTCCTGCTGCGCTGGAGAATGTTCCACATCCTTAGGTCGCACTGAAGGTGGAGCTGCACCCTCCTGGGGGACTGGAGAAGGTTCAGCCTCTTTAGGGCGTTCTAGTTGCAGACCTGGAGTCTCCTCGTTGGATGGTTCAACATCCTTAGAGTTCTCTGGTGGTCCAGCAGGGGCCTCCTGTTGCACTGGAGAAAGGCTGACCTCCTTAAGAGGATCTGTACTCTGAGCTGTGGCCTCTTGCTGGGCTACATCATATTCAATATTCTCAAGGGAATCTGGAGTTTGGGAATAGGGATGGGATTGGATTAGATAAAATTCAACCTGCTCAGAGGGACCTGAAGTCTTAGCCGGGCACTCCTGATGGAGTGGAGAAGGTTCAGCCTCTGCACTAGGCTCTGGAGTCGTCATGGTGAGCTCCATATCCACATGTGTAACTGCTGTACTAGGCAGTGTTGAATCCTGACTTCTGAATATTTTAGAGAGATCTAGTGGTGAAAATGTATTCTCATCATCTAATGAAAGATGAATTGAATACTTCATAGAGGGTGCTAGAGGCTTGGTTGGGTGCTCCTACTGGACTGCCAGAGATTCAGCACCCACAGGGTGCCCTGGAGGCAGAGCTGAGGCTTCCTGCTGCACTGGTCAAGGTTCTGCCTCCTTGGTGGTCTGTTCTTGCTCAGCCTCAGGCTCCTGCTGCACTTCAAAAGGTTCTGCCTCCTCGATGATCTGTTCATGCTCAGACTCTGCCTCCTGTTGTGCCTCAGAAGGGTCTGCCTCCTCGGTGGTCTCTGCATGCTCAGCCTCAGACTCCTGCTGGGCTTCACAGAGATTCTGCCTCCTCGGTGGTCTCTGCATGCTCATCCTCAGCCTCCTGCTGGGCCGCTGCAAGATCTGCCTCCTCGGGGTTCTCTGCATGCTCAGCCTCCGCCTCCTGTCTGGCTGCAGAATGTTCTGCCTCCTTGGTCGTCTGTTCATGCTCAGACTCAGACTCCTGTTGGTCTGCAGAAGGTTCTGCCGCCTCGGTGG